CCAACAACGAAGGGTATTCTGAAGCATATACAAAATACACTACCACTACTTAATCATTTAAGTATAAATGAATATGAAATAATTAAAAATGTAACAAATCCCACTTTTATTGATTCAAAAAGCTAAATTTTAAAGCGATGCTTAGTTGTTGAAAATTCGATTTGACTTTTAAAATAAACTTACTTTTTGTAAATATTGACTAACTCAAATGGCACATTATACTTCAAGTGAGGATTTTGGGAGCATAATTTTTGGTAGCAGCTGTGATTCGGCAATTGAAGATTCAGCTTCGGGAGTGCAGCTTTGAAATGAATCGGCTGCCGAATAAACATCCAATAAAGTGTTGTCTCTCAAAGACATTATGAGGGTTAAGTATATTTTCGCTTGAAGTTGTTTGCATTTGATTTTCACTTCAATGACCACATAAGATGTGTTTAATGGTAGTAGAAAATGTCTACTTCTTATTTCATTGGCATTTTCTTGAATAATCATTTACTCTATTTGTTACGAGTCATTAAAATCAAGATTAAAATAAATCATTCGCGCACAAGTATGATCTAATATCGAAATGCAAAATGCATATAGTGAAAGCGTGTACGCTGTTTCCATTTCAACAGTGAACAGTGAAGGCGCTAATTATTAAGAGCATTCCATAAATTTAAAGTAGTATTGTGCATTTTTGCAAGCTTTGGCTTTGATTCTTGTTGCGGAAATATATTGCTGCATTAACAGAATCGAGTTAATGTACAATTTATTCCATTGGATTTTAACCCTGCACCAATTGCACCCTTAGCGAGTACCAAACATCAAAACCACCAGGCCGGCATATTCCAACAATAATAGTAATGCCATTAATTCCAATGACATAACTGTCTACCATGGCGACCTTTTTAGAATTCTCTAATAAATGCGTTCAAGAAATGCATCCCTGGTATTATTTCAAAGGCCAATTGTTAAGAATAGTATTTGTTTTAATAGTAGGAATATCAATATTAAGCAATATTGAGCCATTAATGCCTAAAGGTAAAAGAGAAGATTTAACGAGATCATTTCAATGTCTGGCTTTACATGATCTTTGTGATAAAGATCGCCATTGACGTCTTCAAATAAGTAAATAAGAATTAATTTCCACAAAACAATTTCTTACGATTACCAATAATGGCCTAATTTTCAGTAAAGTAACCCTAGAAATCGTCCAAATATTTTGAACGATTATGAACAACTAGCAATTTAATCCGAATGCGCCTCGAATTGTATCTTGTTTGATAATGTGGTTAATGTACAGTTTAATCATATTTCGTCTCACAAAATTCTCAAATCCTAACTTCCGTAAAAATGATTTTTCAAGAATTATTACTTTCCAGTTTGGAAACACAGGCATATCGACAACGAATCTGATATTAAATCTTATCTTCATTCAAATGGAGTGCGCGATAGACTTACCTCCACGTGGTGCACCCTGGACAACGTATTTTCTTACGGCAAAAAATTCTATCACTCGACATTCGTTTTTGACTTCAATTTATTATGATTAGCTTTAAAAAAGGCTATAAGAAAAATCGCCCTCGTCAAAGCGAATCACGACGTCTTCAGATCCTCCAGTGGAATGCTGGAGGAATGTCTCCGAACAAAAAGATCCAAGTACAGAAAATCCTACAAATCTATGATGTAGACAATTTCACAATTATGGAAGCTAACATTTCGGATGACAAACTGAAGTACTACCAATTCCCAGGTTACACCCTGTACAATCTACCCAAATACCGGCAAGTTGCAAGTGGAATTCTAACTGGAGTTAAAGAAGGCCTCACCTCACACTACGATCTAATCAAGAGTATGGGCTCGACACAAGACAAATGTGAAATAATCATTTAAATGTTTGGAAATATCGAAACCACTTAAAAA